TAGGCTACCACCACACCAACAACAAAAAAACTCATCACACCAAAAAATACGTTTTGTACTAGTGTAAAAAATTTCCCAAAATATTGAGACTTTTTCTAGAAATTTCCCAATAGACAATTATTATCTCCTTATCTATTACCAATTATTTTATTCATTTTTCTTTTCTTTTACAAATTGGGCAAATGTCATATTAGTCCATCAAACTTATCGAGTTTATTTTGAAAGGTCACCAAACATTTTTTTGGCACATTAAGGGAATGAACTTACATTTTCCGTTTAAAATACCCTTATGTAACCTGATATCGGGTTTAAAGGTAATATACATGTCACAAAAGAAAATGTCAATGTCAGGTCATTTAATGAAATAGCCATGTGTATTACCTTTATCTTGAATTGTTTTAAATAAGCCGATTGCATTCTTCAATCCCCTCCTCCTCATTGAAGAAACTCTTGCTCCCACCATAGTAATTGTAGATCGATGGCTATATTCTTCTCAATCAAAGTTCATTTCCAAGGTGTGTTCATCAACAAACCTTTTTGCTATTCTGATGGTATTCATCATGTGTTCGAGAATATCGATTTTGTTGGTATGTCTTATAATGAATTTTGTTGGTATGTCTTATAATGAATTTGTGCATTTTCTTGAACGATTCACACAAGAGAAGTATGAGAAACTTTATTATCGCCAACCTGATTTAGAAATCCCAGAAGGTTTAACCTTGATTTCTAATGAACTTCAATATCAATAATTTATAGACATTGCTTATCGGTGGGGAGTACAACCGGTTGTTTACATGGACCTGTTACGGTGCAAAGTTCTCCTTGGATGTGGCTTACCCTCTTGTATGTGTAAATGGGTTGAGTCTTTCCTATAAATAGGAAGTGAGTGACTCCCATTTAGTTTTGGTACTTGTAAGACCCATTTGTGAGTGTTAGTTTAGTGAGAGAAAGAACAAAACTCACTTGTACTCTTACTATTCTAATGGAGCTTAAATGATTTTATTTACTCCTTGTGTTCTTGATGTTTGTATGATTCACTAGATCTTTTCAATTCCACATATGTCATCATAATCAAGATCACAACAAGTGGTATCAGAGCCAGTGGCGAGGGTTCGATTCTCTCAGGGAGCATTTTCTGAGGGGGGGGGGGTTGTTGGGGGTCAGAAATGGCATCAACCAAGTCCTCGCACGATGGTCGTTGTGCCGCAATCGAATGACATGTCCTGCAGGGCTGAATGTGCTATATGGGTTAGGTTGCGCCCTTTCTAACACCAATTGGTTTTAGATCAACTGGTAACGCTGATGTCCAACACGATTGTTGGGGGTCAGAAATGGCATCGACCAAGTCATCGCACGATGGCCGTTGTGCCGCAATCGAATGCCAGGTCCTGGAGGGTCGAATGCGCTATATGGGTTAGGTTGCGCCCTTTCTAACACCAATTGGTTTCAGATCAACCGATAGCGTTGATATCCGACAAGTGGTATCAGAGCGGGTGTTCTTGAAGCTCTCAAGAATTGATCCATGATGACTACATGATTTGAGTGAATCTTTATTGTTGTGGTTCTTCATCTTTGTGAAATTTTGAAAATGGAAGAAACAATTCGTGAAGATTGGTTTGTAGATGATTATTCATGGTCACTCGGTTTTGAAGGACTTCTTAATTGCTTTGCAACCGGGTATTTGAAACAAAGTTCACTCATTTCTAATAAGAAATGTGAATGTGGAAAGTTCAATGGTTATCCTCTTGATCATGATCATCATAAAGTGTTGCTTAATCGTTTGGTAAAAACTTATCATGAAAGAAGGAAGAAGAAGAAAGATGGTGAAGTCATTGAAGGAATTTGTCTTGATGAATGCATATATGGTGTTAATGTTCTTGCACTTTACTCGGATGGTCATGATGTTCAAGAAAAGGGAATTCAATGTGATTTTGATGAAGATATGAAAGTTTTTTGTTCAATTGGAGTTCAAATCGTTGATTGCTTGAGTTCTTGTGATTTGTTTGAAGGAATGGTGCCTTATCGAAAGCCTTCAATCCAAGAAGTTCAAATGTATCAAACTCCAAAAGATTTGATTCAAACTTGCAAAGTTGAAATTGTTAAGAATGAAGTTGTTCTTGAATTCAAATCTTCAATATCCAAAAAGATGATGAAAAAGAAAAAAAGAAGAAGAAGAACAAATGGGTTTCTTCACAAAAATCGTCAAAAAGTTGTTATGAATCTGAAATCTATAAAGCAAATTTGGGTTCCAAAGCAACAATCATCAAGTGTTGCAATGAATTTGAATTCAAAACCCAAAAGTGTTGATGATTCTTATGAAGATGATGCTAGATCGTTGAAGAACACGAAGAACGGTTTGTACAACACGCATCGTGGGTGGTACAATGTGAAGATGGGACATTTTCTTGTTCCAACAAAAGAACCAAGATCTTCAATGATATTAATTCATGAGTTGCAAACGGAAAAAGAATTATCAAGAAGATTTCTTAAGTCCTCAAATGAATTCCAAAAAATTCATGTTGAGATCGACGATGAACGATCAAGGTTTTTCTCAAAACTCTAATTTAATCAATTTTTTTTAAATCGTGCGTTTCGTTTATAAATTGTTGATCGTTTTGACTCGTTAGTTCTATTTTTTTTTTAACCCCATTGAAGATCCAATAAATTATTTTTGTTAAGATCAATCACAAAAATCAAAACTAAATTCTAAATTTTTTTTTCCTTCATTTCTGGTTAGTGTTCATTGAGTTTGGAAGCCCAATCCACAATTCAAAAGTTTTAATTTGTTACTGTTCATCAGAGCCCAATTCAAATTCTGTTCATTATATTTTTTTGGCCCAAATCGTGTGTAACATCATTCGAAAATCAAGAATGGTAGTGTTTAGAAAGTCAAAATCGAACACTACACTGGAAACGAATTAGAAACGGAAGTTTCGCTCGGGTTGAATGTTCATAATCGAACACCTCACTGTTTGAATCGAAAGCAGTTGAGTCAAGTTTAGACTTGATTTTGACTGGTATATGTGATCTTGTGAAGTCGATTTTGATTTGGTATCGTTTTTGTGAGTCGAACCTCGAGATTTCGACTAAGGTTTTGTGTCCAAGTCGAACCGATGATTTACTTGTTCGAATTGATGATTTGGAGTTGGATTCGAATTGATTTTATATGCTTTTGACTCTCAATTCCCGTCGATTTCTAAAATTCAATATAGGATTTTCAAGTGTCGAATCAATTTAATCGAAAGTTGAATGTGCTTGTTGGTGTTGATCCTTAGAGTCGAAAGCTTATACTTGAAGTCGAAACGACTGTTGTTGTTGACTGTTTTGATTTGGAGTAAGTTTCGCATCGACTGTGTTTGTGGGTATTGATGTCGAATTTCTGGGATGGAGTTCGAATTGATGATGTATTGAAGTCAAAATATCGAATCGAAATTATTTGGGTCGTGATACAGTTCTTTGGTTTGTTGGGTTCGAAATCAGTTTCCAGGTTCGACTTGTGGTGTTGAAAACAATTGACATCGAAATTGAATTGGAGTTCAATCAAACTAGTATTGAAAATTCGAATGCGGTATATGTTGTTTGGGTTAGGAATCGAACGGAACTTGATTGTTTGACTGATTTTTGGAGTTGACGTCTTGGAGTCAAACTTTGTTCGACTGATTTTTAGTCGTTCGCATCAATCAGGTGTCGCATCGAAAGTGGTTGGGTAACAAGTCGAAATTGCTTGGACTGTCAATGTGTATGCTTGGATTTCGATGTGTGATACTTGTCGTTCGCTATCATGGATTGCTATTTCGACATGAGATCAAATGGATCGTTCGCATCAAACAAGTTTAGCTATGGGTCAATTGAGATGTCGAGATTAAGTTCGAAACAAAGTGTTCGACTTGTGGAATGTTTTGATATCGAGATTGAAAAGGACGGGTTTTCAAGTTTGGATAGCGAAATTGGGATTTCGCTTTGTAGAACGCAATTTCGATATGTAGTCAAAAGGAGTATGTTGACTTGTGGAATTCAATTTGGAAGTGCGAATTGTGCTGATCGTGTACAATTGGGGAAGAAAACAAAAAAATTTCATTTCGAATCCCCTATCTTTCAAAGAAGTGGCAGAAAATACCCACTTTCGAAATGGGGTCATTTTTTTGTGAAGTATGATGAAGTTTCAACATCAGGGCTAAAAATCTGAGAAATATGGAGATTTTTCGTATTAGGTCCCTGAAGCTTATGCGAATTGACACTTTATGCCCAGTTTTGCATTTGGATAAAGTTTCGTACTGGAAGTTGTTTTTGGCGCAACAGGTCCCTATAGAATTATGAAATTGACAGTTTTTACCTAGATTTCAAATTTCTTACAACTCTCACCCAAAAGTCGAAAATTTTCACAAAATTTGGAAAATTTTCTTGACTTTTTGTGATTGTTTTTCGTGCAAGATTTTTCGCGGTTTCATTTTTGGCACACGTCGAGGGGGAGATTCATCAAGTTTATTCCTCAAGCGCTTCTATCCTTTGTAGGTTTTATAATCACTTTTTGATTATAAAAGAGGGAGAATGTAGAAATGGTATTCGAAGCTTCTTGGGTATTCATTTGCGGATTTGAAGACCGGAGTTATTTCAAGGGTGGTTAGTCTTGATCGCGCGAGCTCGTTTGGAAACTGAATTTGGGACATCCAATCCGAACTTTGAGGGGGAGAATGTTAGGGTGCAAAGTTCTCATTGGATGTGGCTTACCTTCTTCTATGTGTAAATGGGTTGAGTATTTCCTGTAAATAGGAAGTGAGTGACTTCCATTTAGTTAAGAGCTTGTAAGACCCATTTGTAAGTGTTAGTTTAGTAAGAGAAAGAACAAAACCCACTTATACTCTTACTATTCTAATGGAACTTAAATGATTTTGTTTACTCCTTGTGTTCTTAATGTTTGTATGATTCACTAGATCTTTTCAATTCTGCATATGTCATCATAATCAAAATCACTACAGGACCATTTTGGTAGTATTGTGCACATGACTAAGGAAAATGAAAATGAGGATAATTGTTCTGTTAAGTCAAACATGACGATCGAAGGGGAAGAAGGTATTAACCTAACTGAGTTCATGAGTCCACAACAGAGCAACATGGAAGGAGTAACATATGAAGGAGTAAGTCAGGAAAATAGAAATGAGGATGCCACAGAAGGTGATCCAAAAGATGATGAAGATGATAATGTCCCAGATGTTGAATATGACAATGTCCCAGATGTTGAATATGACAATGTCCCAGATGTGAAAGGAAAACCAATGTTTAATGAAGACATATCTTGGAAGAAGCAGTTGCCAATTCTATATATGAGGTTCACCAACCCTAAACAATTGAAATTCATGCTTTGTAATTATGTTGTAGCCAATGGGTATCAACTCTACTATGAAAAAAAATGATAGTAAAAGGTTATTGGTTAAGTGTTGTGATGGTGAATGCACATTTAGGCTTTGGGCGTCATGGATGACTGAGGAGCATTCATTCCAAATCAAGTCTCTTATCAATGAGCATAATTGTGCAAGAAATTTTAAGTTAGGGTCAATTGTTAATTATAGATGGATTGGTAGTCATTTCACCAGGGAAGTTCTTGAGAATCAGAAATTCAATGTTAGGATGCTAAAAGAGGAAGTAAAGACTAAATTTGGCATAGAGGTTAGTATAAGACAATATAGGAGAGCTAAGCAACATGAAGTGTCTCTTGTTGAAGATACCATAGTGGAAAATTATGCAAAGTTTTGGTCCTATGGTGAGGAGATAAGAAGGTCTAAGCTAGGGTCAACAGCCAAGTTGTCTGTGAACTCTATGCCAGATGGGAAAACTTACTTTAGCAGGATATATATGTTTTCATGCACTAAAGCAGGGTTGGAGAAGTGGCTATAGAGGGATTAGAAATTTGGATGGGTGTTTTTAAAAGGAATGTGTACTAGCCAGCTATTATGTGTTGTTGGTAGGGATGGAAACAATCATATATACCCAATAGCTTGGGTTGTGGTTTATGTTCAAAATAAAGACAACTGGAAATGGTTTCTAGAAAACTTGCAAGAAGATCTGCATCTTGAAGGTGGGTATGGTAATACATTGATGTCAGATCAACATAAGGTATTTTTGTGTTCATTATGCCATGCTTTATGTGTTTCAATTGTGATCTAGTTCTAAATATCCTTATGATGTAAATGCAGGGGATAATTGAAGCAGTGAAGGATTTATTCCCAGAGATAGAACATAGGCAATTTGTCAGGCATATTCTATCCAACTCCGAGAAGAAATTTTGTGGGGCTCAATATGAGAAATTATTTTGGAAGGCTTGTAGCACATCAACTGAACCTCTTTTCAATTCTGCAATGAAAGAGATTTAAATCATTAGCATGCTGCTTATGTGCATCTTATGGGAAGGAATCCAAAGTCATGGTCAAGAGCATTTTTTTCAAATAGGAAGGGGGTGTGATGTTGTTGAGAATGGGTTGTCTAAAAGCTTTAACAATGTTATCTTGGATGCTAGGAAGAAACCAATTATTACTATGTTGGAGGATATTAGACTTTATGTGATGCAGAGGATGTGTAGTTCGAGACAGAAGGTAGTGGATGGGGACATTTTGATGTATGTCCAAACATAAGGCTTTCCATAAATGAATTGAAGATCCAACAAAGGTACTTTGTTCTTCTCTGTCACTCTTTTTCAACCATAGTAGATCTTAGTAACTGTGTTTATTTATAGGTACTGGCAAGTACTTCCTAGTGGACTGAATACCTTTGAAACAAGAAACTTAGGAGAATCTTACGGTGTTGATTTGGAAAAGAAAAACATGTACTTGTAGGATATAGCAACTGAATGGGTATGGTTGTGTACATTCAGTGGCAGCCATTTCTTATGTAAACAGAGATGTAGAGGCATTTGTTGATCCTTTATATCGTACTTGCATATATATATGAACACCTGCAAGTACTCAATAGGAAACATGAATGGGAGTGTAATGTGGTCCCCAACAAACTACATAGCACCATTGCCACCATTGAAAAAGGAAGATGTCAGGGAGACCCGTTATAAAGAGAAAGATGGACAGTATAGAGGTTAGTGGATCACACAGAGTATCTAAGTCAGGAACAAAGATTGTATGTGGTGTTTGTAAAAAGGCAGGGCATAATAAGTCAACCTGTGATGCAGTGTCAAAGCCTCAAAAATGTCAGGTAAAAAAAAGGAAGTCTGAAGGTGAATGTAAAAGTGGTAGTGCATTGAAGAAATGGAAGGGTCAATCTAGTGCATTGAAGAAAGGGAAGGGTCGAGTGCAAAGGGGAAATGGTGTAAAAAAGGGAAAGGGTGAAGGTGAAGGTGGAAGTGGAAGTGGTGTCAAAACAGGACAAGGTGAAGGTGGGTCAACAAGTGTTGTGAATAAGAAGAATGGACAACAACAATGTACAGTCAAGTTAAGGAAAAAGTCATAGAGGATAATAAAGAAAAAGTTGGCAAAAAGGGTTGAGGGCAAAAACGGTGAAGGAGATACATCGTCCAAACCAATGGACTTGGATTAAAGGTGTTTTGTTTATGGAGTATGTTTGTTAGGGTTAGATATCTTTCTTTCATGTTTGTTATGGTCTTGTTAAGTTTGTTAGTGTGTCCTTAAAACACCAAGTAATGACATTAATGAATGCATGAATGTTTGTTTGTCGTTGTAAGACAAATATAGCAACGTACTTTGGCATAACATGAATGTTTGTTTGTGATGTAATATGAATGTTTGTTTGTGATTGTAAAACATATATTAGAAGGTAATTTGACATAAAAAGGTGCTTTGACATAACAAGCATGTTTCTTTGTGATTGTAAAACAAATATGGCAAGGTACTTTGACTATACAAACAATGGTACAATCCACATGAACAAATCAATCAACAGTTAATATAACAGTTGGTACTACGAGAACATTACCAAATATTGAATGACATCATATGAAAACATTGGTTAATAGGAACTAGATTTCATTTCCTTCATCGAAGTGGCCATACATTATAAATGAGGTTATCGTGTTACCAAAAACCCCCCAAAAAGATGGTTCTAAAAACCCTAACATCGTCAAAAGGCACCATTGATCAAAATAACCAACAAACATCATACCCTAATACACATAATCACCAACAACAAAACATACCCTAATACATACATAATATACTAGCAGATGGCGAAGTTAGACAAAAACAAAAACCTTCGACAACCCCAAAAACCCAAAAGAAAACGCTAAAATCGCCATCATGATACCTACTAACATAACTACACCCACCAAAATCCCCACCCAGAGCATTCGACGCAACCACGAACCCCAATCAACGACATCACTGCAACTCCAACAGCAGCCATCACAGTCACGATCTTTTTCAAGTAACGTATTTCTTCCCTAAACTTGCCTAGCTGTTGTCGCATGTTATCTCTCATTTCCTCAATCTGCACTTGCGTTTCCATGGCGTGAAGCTCGTAGTCAGTTGGTACGTCTAGGTATGATACTCTGAAACCACCATAGGAGAATCTTTGTTCCGAGGCCATCTTCTTGATTTATAGTAGCAAACAAGGGAAAAGATCGAAATTTGTTGTATTAAGCAAAGGATACGATTAGGGTAACAAAGTGGGTGGGGAACACTCATTTAGGGTACAATTATTTTCTAAACTCTTTTTGTACAATTACGTCGCATAATCCAAAAACAGTGACATGCATTCAAACGGATTATCACGACCAATTTGAGTTCTTGTATCTGTCACACCCCGAAACCGATGGCGGAAACGTTCCGGGGCGGAGGACGTCACGTGTAGCATCACAACCAATGAATAATAGCAATCATAGCAACACAACCAGTACAGTGCATACTAAAATAAAAATGTTTACATCAATTCTGAAACTTGTTTGAATTACATCATATAACTTGTATGAATATAACATTAAACTCTTATTGCTTCAACTCTTCAAAAACCCAGCAGGCACCTGTCTACTGATTTCCTGAGAATACAAGCAGTTTAAAAGAGTATCAGCATAAGGCTGGTGAGTTCATAAGCGGTAGTTTGTAGTGAAAATCGTTGATGAGTTCGGAAAAAAACTTGTATAGTTTCAAGAATATCCGATGTTTTCCTTAGCGAGAATGTAGTGTTACCAGTTCTGTAATAAACCATGAATTTATGTATGTTTCCAAGAAAATCCGATGTTTTCCTTAGCGAGAATGTAGTGTTACCAGTTCTGTAATAAACCATGAATTTCTGTATGTTTCCAAGAAAATCCGATATTTTCTTTAGTGAAAAGGTAGCGTTATCGATTTCGTATAAAACCATGAATGTTCGCTACTGAAAACTGTAGTGATATGCGAAAATACTACCTCATGTGACTAGCTAAAACTAATCATGAAGTGTAAGTATTTTGTATGCGAAACCATTGCATAATCGGTTCTGTTTGAAAACCCTGGCTTTAGCCAGTATACGTAGTGTGTATCAGTTCTATTTAGTAAAAATAAAACTGTTGAAGAGTGTTAAGTTGTAAACTAAAGGTGATTTATACATAATGTGAGTCGTATAACCATGCTTGATATGACTAGTGACCTTTCCAACGTTCTTCAGGCGTCGAGTTAAATGACATTTGTACATCTCAGGCGTGCCCGCCTAACTGTAGCTAGCAGTCCAGATGTGGGATTGTCAGTCCCGAATAGATCTATTCACAAATCTCACGCTCTCCCTCCAGGAGACTCTGGTTATACAGTGGTAGGATTTATCCCTGTACACCTAAGGGTACAGTAGTGAAGTAGCGCCTCACAGTATCGTACAATCTAGTTTACATGTAGTGTAGTAGCGTTCTACCGTAGTGAAAATCCGTATGTATACCGTATATAGTGATAATTTCAGTTATGAATACCATGATAAAGTAGTGATGTAAACTGTAAACGGTTTCTGTTTCAGCACATATGTTTAGTAGTGAAAGTTTCTATACTTGATATGTTTTAGAAAAATCCCAAACTATACCGATTATAGTTTGCATGTATAATGTAGTGAATATCGAATCCGGAAAAACTATGCAATTTTAGTGAAAACGTCCCTTATGCTCAACACAGTACAAAAGGGTTAAAGTATGAGAATTGCATGAGTTTTGAAAACATTTATGTTTAGCTTGTATTCCCCCCCTGAAAACATTAAAAATACGGAAAATGTAGGGGTATGAACTCACAGTTGTTGCGTGAAATCGTTGACTGAAAATGAAGATCCTCGAGTTGTTGCACGACACTTAACGAAATCCTATTATCAAATAAATACATATATGTATCTAAATTAGCGATTTCGATAAATAAAGTGTCATAAGAATACTTGTATTCGGTTGAGGAATGTTATCGGGACTTGATCGAATCAAAGAGGGTGAGTTTTCAGTCAAAAACACCACTTAAAAGGTGTTTACGGTCGAAGAGGAGTTTACGGTTCTTGAAGGCTTGGACCGTAAACTCAAGAACAGAGTTTACGGTTTCTGAAGGTTGGACCGTAAACTCAAGAACAGAGTTTACGGTTTCTGAAGGTTGGACCGTAAACTCAAGAACAGGGTTTACGGTTCTTGAAGGTGGACCGTAAACTCAAGAAAAATGGTTCTGATTGCTGATTTCGAAGAGATGAGTGCCCTGAGACGTTCCAAAGCGACCCAAACGTGGTTTCTCGATGATTTCCGAAGTTTGAAGGCGTTTTGAGTGTTTACGGTTAAGGTTCTTAGAGAGAGAAAGAGAGAGTTTTTGGCCAGAAATGTTCTAATGAAGGTGGAGGCATCGTATTTATAGGGGTGTTGTGGGGGGTCCACTCTTCATTGACCGTAAACAGGTTTACGGTCGTAAACGAGTTTAAACGAGTTTATGGTCGTAAACTAGTTTACGGTCGTAATCCTCACTTAGACCGGAAACGTTGATATTTTTCCGAGATTTTTGGGTTTCCACGTGATTTTTGGTTCCGACTCGTAAATAATTTAATTAAATATAACTAGATTATTTTCTAAACCAAAAAGTTCGACGGAAAAGTTAATGAATTCGAAATTTTATTAACGGAAATCACGAAACGGAAACGGGAAAGTTTCGGGTTGTCACATCATCCCCCCGTTAGAGGGAATTTCGTCCCGAAATTCGAACCTAGAATACAAATCATGGATTAGGAAAGAGATGTGGATACTTCTGTTTCATCTGATCTTCGCG